TCATGATACCCCATCTTTCTTGTAGTGGAAGCTGCAAGGACGTCAGATGCATTCGCAATTTGTGTCCCCCGTTTTGTTTGCTGCAATATTTTGGCTGTCAAACAGGATATCATATCATGGAAATGAGGAATGAAATTCTTGCATGGTTTACTTTGGATGAATCTTTTGGATTGGCTATCAACAAGGAAGGAAAGAGTTGTTATGAGAATAATTATCACGAAAAGATTCAAAATAAAATTTAGAGACATGGCAATTAAAACTAATTATGTTGCTATTTTTAATGGTCTGGTTATATTTATAGAGGGGCCAAAAAGTGATTTAAAATATATTTTATTTTGTAATACTTAGGCCTTAATTTCGTTAAGAATTTAAATTGATTTATTCTAAGAATCGTTGCCATCGATCATTAGCTGACAGTTTGGCCGAGTGGTCTAAGGCGCCAGATTTAGGCTCTGGTCCGAAAGGGCGTGGGTTCAAATCCCACAGCTGTCATTTCTTTTTATTTATTTTTGAGTTTATTGTATCATTAGCAGAAAAATTATCTTTCGTAAACATCTCCTTTCCCCCCATTTTTTTTTCTTCCACTTAATTGTTTACAAACTAGAATCGAGGAACCACGTAAACAAATTTACCTAGATAAAACATTAAAACCTATAAATTACTATTTCCTCCGTGCCGCAAAAATAGTCCATATTGAGTTTTCAAATTTATGCTAAAAGTAGTACAAAACTCAAAACTTAATGTGGACTATTTTTGTGGGACGGAAGGAGCATATATCAATTCGAATACTCCATTCTATCAAAATGATTGTTCACTTTTCTTATTTTCATTTTCAAAGATATCTTAATTATACATTTATACTATCGACAACAAAATTAAGATTATTATTTTTTTTTTTGATAAATAATATACAACAAGAATCTGAAGGCTGTAGAACAAATATCCGTTTAGACAGGATGAGATAATCTATTCTTCTACATCGTTACAGATGTTAGTGACTCAGTGAGTAGCGTTGATAAAATATGTTATTTCAAATAATAAAAGAAATCAAATTTTGCTAATGCATTCGTCATTATATTTCGTTGGGAAAGATGCGACTTATGGTCATTTCCTAAGCGAGGTTCTATAACTCTCCAATACTAGCGAAGATATTATCATTTATAAATATAGTCTCGTCGCCTGTTAAAAATTTAATTGTATCGAAACAATTCACCAAATGTATTTTATTTTTAAACCATAAGTCCCAACCTAATTGGAGAGCATGAAATGCACCACTAAAATCTGTTTCCAGTACATTGTAATCGCCTAAGTTTAGGTATAGTTTCTTAATACATTGACAAGTATTTTTCTTCTTCTGTTTTTTTTTTTTATAAAAAAAGCAGCCTAAGTTAGTGGCAAAACCAATATATTTCCTCTTTGCTTTGAAAGTAGAATAGGCTCCTCTAGTAATTTCACTTTTCCGCACCCCAAACCCAAACCCAAGTAGGCTATAACCTTTAAACTTCCTGACTTCAGCCCAATAAACCCAATGCCCTCTACATGTTTTCAGCCGAATTATTCTTTCTTCAACCCTCCTACTCTAGCAACATGGGCTATCTAAGTTGTAACTTGTGAACTAAATATGGTTTTAAGGTTGGGGTGTTGGTCCTAAAATCCAAACTTAATCGGTGGACACCTTGCAATATGAAAAAAACAAAAATAAAAAAACAATTATTGATCTATTCAAACTTATAGATCAACACTTATTTTATAAACTAATATATAAGTTCTCAGCTTGTAATACAAGATTATCTTTATAAGTTCTAAGTTTCGGTTTCCTCTACATATATGTATACTAGTGATGTCTGGTCGCGCAATGCGCGACCCTGGCCCAATATATTTGTATATCATAGAAATATTTGTATCTGGAAAAAAAAATATTTTGTATTTGGTAAGATATATTTTAGAAATGTTTGAAGAATTTAGAAATTTTTTATAAGTGTGATCATAGAAATGTTTGTATTTGGCATAAAAGAAATTTATTTGGCCCGGTACGTTTTAGAAATGTTTGAAGATTTTACAAATGTTTTATAAGTGTTACTTCTTAAATATAAATAAACTTGATCAAATATATGTCTTGAAGTAAATGCTAGACAAAATATAAAAGCATCCTAATAAGTTTAAATATTAGTAAGATGATTTATTGATGTTCTCCATTGGTTGTGCCATATCAATACTTAGTTTTGGAGATTTATAATAGTTTTGTAGTAAGCTTCCTCCAAAGGGTATACGCTTAATTGTTAGAACTATTTCTTCCAAAAGTTTATAGGTAGTAAAATATTAAAAATATGATTTTGAAACAGGTTAATTGTTGAAACTGGTTGATCACAAATATAAATTTGCATAGGTTTCAAGGTATAGCAAATAAGAACTCACCTCATTATGGCAAATAAAAAAAAAAAGTAAAAGATAGTCCATTAAAAATTGAGAAATTTATTTTTTTCTGTAAGTAAAAATGATGTATAAAAACACAAATAAACGTAGAAACATCATTCCTTCCCTCTCCACTTCAATTTCATAAAAGGCTTCCCCATAAATTAGTTAGAAGAAGCGACCTGAACTATTTATATGATGAGGAAATAAAAAAAGTCCAAAAACTAAATCTAAAAAAGTATATTATTGAAAGTCCGAACACAAAAAAAAAAATAACGCGCTTCATTTGCAAATAAAATAAAATAATAATAATAATAATAATTGGTCAACTGAGAGTATGAAACAAAATTAAAAGCAATTAAACAAAAAAAAAACACACTTCATAACTGACCATATACGAAAAAAAAAATTGAGACTCCATAATTAAAAAAAGAAAATCACTCTAATTGAATGAAACATAAAAAAAATTAAAAAAACTACACTTTGTAACCAAAATCCAATTAATCAATTCAATCCAAACAGAACTAAAATCATATAAAAATTCTAGGCTAACTAACCATATGAGAAATCATATCATATTGCCTGACAACGGCTACGGTAGCTGTAATGGATGGACGCGTAAAAATAATAGTAATAACACTATTCTTGAATGGGAAAAACAAAAAATAATAAAAGTCAAACAAATAATCTGTGGAAATAAAATCATTTAAATTTTAATACCTGTAATGGCACCACCACAACGGTCGAAGCAAGATCAATGAGAATTTTTTTTTTCCTTTGTGTTTATATGGAGAGGTAAAGAGAATTTTTTTTAAGTCGAAATTTTATCCGATTAGGATGTAGTTGATCATCACTAATGAAAAGATTGAACATGCTAATCGGAAAGGAGTATATTTCACCACATATTCTCAATTGATAATTGATGAGGAATTTGTTTTTTTTTTTTTATTGTGGAGAAGGGATTGATTAGGAAGTCGATTGTCGTGGAGATGGGGATGAAGATTTGGGTTTTGTATGAACAGGTGGGTTTTTTTTTTTTTTTTTTTTTGGTTTTGACCAAAATAGGAGGTAGAGGTGGATTTGGACTGCATTTGACTTTTAAGTCTAAGAGATGTGTAAATAAAAATATGATGTAGAAATGTCACATGGCAAATGGTAGTGCTTTCTGTTAAGTGTGGTTTTTGTTTCTAATATAGTGAGATATATAAAACAAAACAAGTGCTGAAAATTACAGTAAAATTCTAGTAGATCCTACTAGAATTAAACTCTCTTCAAGCTGTTTAGTTTTTGCAACTGAGCATCCCTGTATTTTTTTTTTTTTTTTTTTTGTGTGGATAGAATGAGCATCCCTGTTTCGTAAACAACAACATCTGTCATAGAATTAGTATGTTACTTAGTCGCTATTGGCGAATTTTGATTGGGCATTTATGGAGAATCCCACAACAACGTGAAGGATGCCATAGTGAAATTCGGCCTCTCTTGTCCGTTAGACGAACATATTTTGGTAACATAATGGAGAGTTTAGAAGTAGATAAAACAACATCATCCCATTTCCGTGGGGATGTCCTGTAATTAAGCCTCTGCTCTTTCGTATAAAAAAGAGAGAGAGAGAATTACAGGAAAATGTCTCTGGTAGACTGAAGCTCCACATAAATGGCATCGATGCTGTAGATTTTTCTCAGTGAATCCCATGGTCATTCACTTATTACTTGGAGAGAAAGTATGAATCTTGACCACATTAAATTCCTAATAAACTTTGGCCAACGATGCTTTTCCAGCTATCGAAATCTGTCTTGCCCATAAGATCCTCCTCCAAGTAAATACAATCAGATTCATCATCGTCGACGTTGACGGCCTGAAAGATTTTTAGTGCACCAAAATACTTACTTCACAGTTCAGACCAAGAAATCCATAAAGAATATTCCAGAATTTCTCCAAAAAAAAGATCACCTTATTGGACATGGGAAAGTATGATTTGACAGGATAATCTAAATTACAAAAAACAAAACAAAAAACAACACAATTTATAATGATATACTGTATGTTCTCCATAACATAAGTATTAGACAAATTGCTTATGTCAATGGAATTATTATTATGTACATATATAACACGATCGATTTTGACTCGATAGTATGAATATGAATACATAAACTACTATTGATTTTTGGGTGGATTAGATGATAGATAACACGAGAGTCTGATACGTATTTTCATGTTTTTTGGTTGGACCAACATTGATTTAGTGTTCAAGTGGAGACCGTGGAGTGGAGCTATAAAGCATTAAATATCCTGGAGAAAAGTTGTGAGGGAGGATCTCTCAAAATCAATAACAAAACAACAAAACTTAATTAAAAAAAAAAAAAAGAAGTACAAATCCATTCTCAATCATCCAAATGTTATCGTCCTTCCTTCATCTTTACCCCACCTCTCCAGATCTTTCTCTCAGATATTTTCTCAAAAACCTTCTTCTTCTTCTGTTCTTCCCCCTATAAAAATCTTCCCCCTATATTCACTTCTTCATTCATCCATCTTCACTTCACTCGCAGTCACTTTTTTATCCCATTTCTTCCTCATCCTCTTCTTCAATGGCGGCCATGGCTACAACCCTCACTTCTTCTTCAACCAAACCTTCTTTTTTCGACAACAAATCATCCTTCCTCCATGGCTCTTCCCCTGTATTTTCCCGGGTTCAACCCATCAAATCATCGGGCGCCCCACAAAACCTCTCCATCTCCATGTCCATGAACTCGCCGGCTTACAACCTTGACGCATTTACCTTCCAACCCATCAAAGAATCCATCGTTGCCCGTGAAATGACCCGGAGATACATGACCGACATGATCACCTACGCCGACACCGACGTCGTCATCGTCGGAGCCGGTTCCGCCGGGCTCTCCTGCGCCTACGAGATCAGCAAGAACCCCAACATCCGGGTCGCCATCATCGAACAGTCCGTCAGCCCCGGCGGCGGCGCGTGGCTCGGTGGACAGCTTTTCTCCGCCATGGTTGTCCGGAAACCGGCCCACAAATTCCTGGACGAGCTCGAAATCGAGTACGACGAGGCGGATCACTACGTGGTGATCAAACACGCCGCCCTGTTCACATCCACGATCATGAGCAAACTCCTCGCCAGGCCGAATGTGAAATTGTTCAACGCCGTTGCGGCCGAGGATTTGATCGTGAAGGGCGGCAGGGTCGCCGGAGTTGTGACCAATTGGGCTCTGGTTTCCATGAATCACGACACACAGTCGTGTATGGACCCCAATGTGATGGAGGCTAAAGTGGTGGTCAGTTCTTGTGGTCATGATGGGCCTTTTGGAGCTACCGGCGTCAAGAGATTGAAGAGCATCGGAATGATTGACAGCGTTCCTGGAATGAAGGCCCTTGATATGAACACCGCTGAGGACGCCATTGTTAGGCTCACCAGAGAAATTGTGCCTGGAATGATCGTTACTGGCATGGAAGTTGCTGAAATTGATGGTTCTCCAAGAATGGTAAAATCAATCTCTATATCCATTTCTAGTTTTGATTACTCTTCTTTTCAATTTGGGAAGTTTGATTTGCTTGCATACAGCTTGCTGTGATGAGATTTCACGGTATAAATTATGACCAATTTTGGGGTGGTGAAAATTTGCAGGGACCAACATTTGGAGCAATGATGATATCAGGACAAAAGGCAGCACATTTGGCATTGAAAGCTTTGGGACAACCAAATGCTTTGGATGGAACTGAAGTGAGCACAACTCAACCAGAGCTCATCCTTGCGGCTGCTGAGAATGCAGAGATTGTTGATGCTTAAATTTCTGTACCTTAAAAAAAAATAAAAAAATGTTAGGCGATTTTTAGCTTTTGGGAATCCATCCTCCAGGTCGACGAGAAATGAACCAAGAACATCAAGGGAGAAATAATAATACCTTTTGGTTATGATTAGAGATAGGTTTTAGATCATTTGGAATTTCAAATCCGAGGACTATGTACCACTGCTTTTTTGCAGTTTTGCTGGTAGTCTCCTCCCATGAAACTCTCGGGTTGTGCAGCTGTTTTCTTCTTATTTGGATTTGAGACATATATGTGGTTTATAATTTCATTGAACAAGGTTTAACACTCATGATTCTAGTATATATCTCTCTATTAATAATAAATGTATATAATTAAAAAATAAAATAAGTGTATATAATTCAAAAAGAAAAGAAAAAATTGTGAGGGAAAAAAAAAATAAAATAAAATTACAAAGGTAACAAAGGGAGTATAAAAATTATGAGGGAGAAACCGAGAGTTGTAAAAGTTATAATGAATCCTCGCTCCAGCGGTCCACCCCCAAAATATACCCACCTGAGAAGAGTCAAGACAGTGTTCTGGCGAAATACTCCTAAATCCTCGTCGAATCGAACGAAACCCATATGCCTAGCAAAGATTTCACCAAACCTCAATCAACTTCTTCAGTATGTACAACGTCAAAACAATTATCAATTTCCGATATTCCCAATAATTGGAGAATTCAACGCCGGGAAACTCAACTGATCTCCCAAGTTTCCGCCATCATCTTACAGCGACAAACAAAATACTGGGCATCCCTTCTCAAAACCACTCTCAAATTCTCCTCATTAACCCCTTTTCAATTCCTCCAAATCTTGAACAACACCAAAGCCTCCCCGAAAATCTCCCTGGAGTTCTACAACTGGGCGAGGAAGAATCTGCATTTTGAACCCGACCTTAAGACCCAGTGTAAGCTGACCCATTTGCTATACGGGTCTGGACTGTCCAACCTTGCGAAACCCATTTTGAGTTCCATTGTTCAAGCATACCCGTCGCATCAAGTGGTGAGTTCTTTGTGTAAAGTTGCTAACTTTGAAACTTGCTCCTCTGTTTTATGCGCTGTTCTTAAGGGATATTGTAAAAAAGGTTTGTATTTGGATGCTTTGAGAGTTTATCTTGAAGGTAAAGAATTTAGGAATGGTGTAATATCTGTGGATGGATGTAATGCATTACTACATTTGTTAGCAAATAAGAATGAGAGTAGACTGGCTTGGTGTGTGTATAGTTCCATGATTCGAGATGGGGTATTCGAGAATCAGTTTACCTGGCCCATTTTAGGGAGAATTCTCTGTGAGGATGGGAAATTTGAGAGAATTAGTAGGATTTTGGATATGGGAATCAATAGTTCAGTGCTGTTTGATTTGTTAATCCAAAACTATGGTGAAAGAGGGGATTTTGATGCTGCGTTTAGTCATATAGATAAGATGTTTGATAAAAAGCTTGTTCCAACTCTCGGCATTTATAGTTCGATTCTTGATGGGGCTTGCAAATGTGGAGATACTAAAGTAATCGAAATGGTAATTGGAATTATGATTGAAAAGGGTTTTGTACCTAAGGAAGTTAGTTCAGAGTATGATTCAGTCATTCAGAAGCTTGCTGATTTGGGGAAGACCTATGCTGCAAAATTGTTTTTAGATAGAGCATCTGCTGAGAATGTTGTTCTTCAGGATGCTACGTATGGATGTATGTTAAGAGCATTATCCAATAGCGGTAGATTGCAGGACGCTATTGAAATACATCTTATGATTTCTGAGAGGAAAATAGTGGTCAACGATGTTTGTTACAATGCCTTCGCCTCTGGTCTCTGCACACAGGAACCATCTGAAAAAGTTCATGAACTGCTAAAAGATTTGATAGAAAAGGGATTTCATCCTGATGTAGCAGAGGTATCAAGATATATAAAGGTTCAGTGTGAAAACCTGAAGTGGAAACAGGCTGAGCATTTTTTAAATTATATTTTAGATAAAGGGTTTGTGCCAGATTCTTTCTGTTGTTGCTCTTTAGTTAAGTACTATTGCTCCAGTGGACAGGTTGATTTAGCTATCAAGTTGCATAATAAAATGAAGCTGTCACAGACTTTTGACGTGGAGACATATAATCTACTTCTCCACAAGCTCTTCAAACAAAGAAGGGTCAGTGATACTCTTGATGTGTTTGAGGACATGAAAATGCAAAAAATATACAACACTGAAAGTTTTACAATCATGATTAGAGAGCTTTGTCAGGTAAAAGAGTTGAGAGAAGCAATGAAAATACATGATGAAATGCTGAAGTTGGGGCTTAAACCTAATGGAAAGACATACAAGCGTCTGATCTCTGGTTTTGCATGAGATTTGCGTTATTAGGTGTTGATGATTCAACTATATTTGCTGTCACAAGGTACAATGCTCGTTTTCATTGGGTCTCCTGTCTGAACTGGAGCATTTGGAATACAGTCTTTGAAACACTCTGTGTGGCTTCTTAAGCTTCAGGGCTAAGAAAAGGGGAACGAGGGAATTGAAACAGATTGGGATAAGGAAAGGGATCCCGTGTTTTTGTTTTATATGATTGTATAAATGGTTGTGGAATGAGAGCAGGAAGAGAAAAGATAGATGGATTTCTGTCCGGAGTTTCTCGCAAGCAGCTGGGGAAGAGATTTTTTGGCCGGAGGAATTGGAGGGATAACAGGCATTGTGGCAGGGTATCTGCTTGATACGATCAGAATCTGGCAGCAACATTCCAAGAAAGGAGGCTCAGCCGCCACCATCTTCCGCCATGTTGTCTCCAAAGAAGGACCCCTTGCCCTCTACAGAGGCATGGCTGCTCCTCTCGCTTCTGTTACTTTCCAAGTAAGTCCGTATTTTCTTTCTATATGATTTTTACGTGTTTAGCAACTTGGCATGGTTTCTGGGATTGGATTTAGTGTTCATTAGAATCCCATCAACCAACCATCGTTGTTCTAATTTTTTTCAAGTTTCAGGGCTAATTTTTTCAAGTATAATAAAATATTCTAAATACAGTTCAAGAAATTCCTCTCAAATAGTCAAAATCAATATTTTTCCTGGTTCATTCACCGCATTCTTCAATAAGAGTTTCTTGCTTCTACGTAACAAAATCTCTGCCCATTAATACTAATCAAGACGGTCTTAATTGTTGTACTACTAATTTGGTTGTATAACTTTCAGCGTGTAATCTTGCTGGCCTTCGAGATTAGTCCACATCTTCTATCCGCCTAGACATGATAATTGCTTTGCTAAAATTTACCTCCGGATGATGGTGTCTGTGTCCGACACAGCCAGCATAATGCTCTTTTTGCTGTTTCTTAATCCATATATGAGGAAAATGGTTTTCCTGAGTGCTGGAATCCCTTATTTGTACTTGGAAATACTGTATTAACACTACCCTTTCATCATCCTCTGCAGAATGCAATGGTCTTCCAGATTTACGCCATACTCTCCAGAGCATTTGACAATGATGTTTCTGTGACGGATCCACCCTCTTACAAAGGCGTCTATCTTGGAGGTGTTGGAACTGGAGCAATGCAGAGCTTGTTGCTAAGCCCTGTTGAGTTGGTGAAAATCCGTGTTCAGTTACAGAGGAACATTAGTGCCAATAAATATACAGACATTCATCGAGGCCCTGTGGATCTTGCAAGAAGCATTCTCAAGACTGAAGGTTTGAGTGGCATGTATCGTGGATTAATGATCACTGTCCTTAGAGATGCTCCCGCTCATGAAGTCTACTTTTGGACTTATGAGTACATGAGAGAGCAGCTTCATCCCGGGTGCAGGAAGAATGGCCAGGAGAGCTTCAGAACAATGCTTTTTGCAGGTGGACTTGCCAGTGTTGCTACCTGGATATCTTGTTACCCATCGGATGTCATCAAAACCAGGTTCCAGGCACAGAACTCAGCAAAATACACAGGCATAGTTAATTGCTTCAGGCGAAGTGTGAAAGAAGAAGGGTACAGAGTGCTCTGGCGCGGTTTAGGAACTGCAGTTGCCAGGGCGTTTGTTGTAAATGGAGCCATTTTCACAGCCTATGAAACAACTCTAAGGTGCTTCTACACCAACAACAGCCCCGCAAACCATGCAAACAGAAAATGCAATGTAGAGAAAGAAGCCCGGAGCATTATCATGGCACTAATACGAAAATGCAGCATTTTGTGGATCGCATTGGATTAGTTTCTCATATTTTACATCCCAGATTCAATTTCAATGATATCAGTGCGAAGCTAAATGCAGGAGAAGCAAGACAGCATTTAACCATTGTTATATGGGCGAACAGCTGAACGCCATTGGAACTTGAGAATATACATCTAGATCAATACCATTTAGTTGGAGCACAATGTAAATAACATCATATTCATACGTATTGACGCATACTGCTCTGATTTAACTATTGCTATAAAAGAGAACACTTACTCTTTATTTCATATCAAAATCAGATCCTAGACAACAGTTTCCCTCTTTTCATTTAGACAACAAGCTCATACAACAACTGGAAAAGCAAACAAAACAAAAAAGGACAACCTATGAAAGGCATTACGCAGCTCAATACAAATTAAACACTGAAACTACAGACAGAACTATCATTAGATTCAATCATTCAATAGCTACCTCCAGCACCAAGATGCTCAACCCTGGTTTCACTGTGATTTTAGGCTGCTAGTCCCCGGTTAAATCTCAGAGATGACTGACATCCATTCACACTCGTGATGCCCCACTTTCGACGACCTAAAATGTTCTTTGGCGCAGCTCTCGGCCTCTGGTCGTATCGCCAATAGTCGGAATCCCTGCAGAAACGCAGCTTCACTATGAGGGAAAGAGTACACAATATCCTGGTCTAACAAATCCCCAAGAGGAAATCTTTTGCATTTTATTCTGCTGGCACAGGAATCTACTCTTCTCAAAAACCCTGACTGTGGGTGATGCAGCCCGGGCTATTATGGTGTACAAAGAGGAAGCTGATTTTTCAACAGAATATATTTTACTTCTTTTAGTCATAATAGCTCCCAGTGATCAATTATAATCGTATCATATTAGTTGTAAAAATAGGTCACGGGTTAGCACAATATGCAAAGGCAAATGGTGTTCCTGAATATGTTTGGTCTGATAGTTTTTATTTTATTTTTTTCATTCTAAAAGATAATGTTTGTCAAATTTAAACAGATGTGATTAACCAAGTGCAGCTTTCCGCTCCCGCGTTTCCTTTTGATATTAGGAAACAGTAATGATCCATATTGGTTGGAATTAGGAAAATTTTGCAAATTTCCTTTGCAAATGGGAATCGGATTCAACCAGCCGCTCCCGCGTTTCCTCATGATTTAGGAAACACAAACCCATTCCTAAAAAATCTCCAGGTTTCGATTCCGTCTGTGAATCGCAAATGGGTTTAACCGAGTCAAAGTTTGTTGTCTATATATATAAAAGAGTTATCTGCTTTGCAAAATATTAAGATCCAGTGAGAAAAAGTTTCTATTTATTTGGCAAGAAGGATAAGTAGAAGTATAGAGTCAGGGTTAGCAGCAATGGCGATGTTTGTGACTGCAAAGAGATCTGTGAGCGTGATCGGTGGTTGGCGTACTGCTGCCGTGGATGAAGAGCTCCGCCTTAAGCGACTGAAAGACTTCCAGAGAGGCGGAAAACGTCTCCGACAAATTCAACTACTGAACGTCGACGAACTTCCTATCAAGAAAATCAAGACTACCGCGGCAGCGCCTCTGTCTTCAGGTGCGATTAAGGAGGAGGCTTTGGGTGGTAGACGTACTATCTCGAAGCTCTCTGGAAAAAGCCAAACTATAGTGTCCAGTTCGGGGAAACAGAGTAATATTATTGGAATGAAAGTTGTAGCAGAAATTCCAGTGGGCCGCAAAGCTTCGTTAGGGGAAACCGACAAAATCAGGGACAAGATTCGGGAAGACCTAGCAAAATCATTGAGTAAAGTGGCAAGCGAGGTTGATGAAAAAGGAGAGGAGGCAGCAAAGGTCTCATCTTGCGATCCATTGAATGTTGCTGCGATGGTGGAAACTGAACTGTTCAGAGCCTGGGGATCTTGTAGCAGAACCAACAAAGCCAAATATTGGTCGGTGATGTTCAATTTGAAAGATGATAAGAACCCTGATTTCCGAAAGAAAGTTCTTCTCGGGGAGTTTAGCCCTGAATCAATCAGTCAGTTGACAGCAAAAGACATGGCAAGCCAGGCGAGAAAGTTGGAGAACGAGCAAATCCGGGGATTGCCCAAGTTCAATCACGAAATACTTCCGGCACCGGAGTCAAAGGGGGAAGGGAATTCGGAGCTGCAGTGCCGCAGGTGCGAGTTCTCTGCAACAACTTATAGTCAGATGCAGACCCGAAGTGCCGACGAGCCGATGACTATATTAGTGCATTGCCACAATTGCGACCACAATTGGAAAGTTTCATAATACATTCCTTCCTTCTTAGTTCATCAGATGTTCCGTGGATTCTCTTGTTTGTGTGTTCACCGGGGGATTTATATGCTGTTCTATTCTAATTACTACAGTTGTACAATGATACTTCATCTTTTGAAAGTTAATAATATCAATTTATTTAGTTAACTTTCAATTAATTGCTGTTGCATGTAAGATGGAGAGGGATTGTCCTTATATACCTAATGGAGTTAGTTCAGAGGATAAGATTCAAGTATTCAGTAACTTGCTCATTTGGGAAAGAAGTATGTTAGTTTTACTATACCGTGTTTTTCTTTTTGTAAATTAATAAGATGTGTTTATTCCAATAAAGATTTTCTTTCATTGTCAAAAGAAACTAAGAAAACAAGGGAGGTTAAATGCTCAGAGAAAGACCCACATTTAAGTTTCTTCAATCTCTTTCTTTTCCCAACTTCGCAACTGAAATACAGCTGAAGAAAGAGAGGGAGGATTAATATCCACCCAAGCACCAAGAACACAGCTGATGATGGAGGGAAACGAAGAGCATGGCTCTGAGGTTTTGGATCAGGCTGATGATGAGTGAGAAGAAAACTAATAAAAACACTCAATCGGCCCAAACCATTTGCATTCCATGCCATTCATGCTAGCTGGCTCGTGCGGAATGGGCTTTTTCTTTTCATTATTTTTGAATAATCATTTTGAACTGAAGAAATATATTATTACAGACTTTAATGTTTGATCGGATTCAAATTAAGTAGGTTTCTTTCTTGAAACCGAATTTATCAATGGCAAAACACAGGACTTCTAATTTGCTTAGATACACAAAATAAACTAGTACAACACTATTACTATTGATTTGGATACCTAATATTAATGCATCGTTGTGGTATCAATGGGGGAAAAAATATTCTTAAGTGTACTGTGTAGCTATATGGTGTGCAAGTTTTTTTAGGCTTTTTAGGTCTTGCAGACTTTGTACTCCAAAAATGGTCACATTACTTCCATAGGCCATATCTATCATGCTGCGCCCTGTCTTCGTAGTAGTCTAGCTAAGATGATTTCGGTTAGTTGATTTCTTTGGCAGTGGGGCGATTCTGTCAAAATTAGTTAAATTGAATTCCTGACAATTACATATATTCCCTTTCGTCCCAACAATTTTTTTTTTTTTTTTAAAAAAAGTAAGAAGAAAATGAAGTTCAAGATAAGTTCGTACAATATTGATGATAGATGGAGCAGAATCACGATGAGTTTTATTTTGAGGATGTGGATATATATAGTTTGAAGAAGGCAGGTCTCAATTAAATTGTGAATTCAAGTCTCGCAAATGGGGGAGGAGGGGTGTTACTCTTGCTTTACATAACTATATATTTACTGTCCCGAACAAATAGCCTAATTATGTAACTTAAAAGATACAAAATTTAAATATAAGATTCTTCATATCATCTAAAAATAATTAGTATATAATAGACGTGATGATCTGTTCCATTTTCATCATCTAATTTTTCAAAAGTAAAGTTTTCTCAGGATGCAGGGATTAACACTAACTTCTAGTGAAATATATGTTACGTAAGTTGAGATGTCTTAAGAAAAGAGAAAAAGAAAAAGAACGGATCGTGTGATGATAATTAATCAAATCAAAAGCAACTTGAAACACCACAAAATAATTTTTTCTTTTTTTATATTGCAGGGTATCCACCGTGAAAACAATGACTAATTTCCCTCGCTCATGGTAGACACCTCGATAGGAGGTGGGAGAGCTGGCAAAAAGATTTAAGGTTGCTCCATGCCCATAACGAGATTCGAACCCTCAATTCATAATTAAGGGTAAAAAAGTCCTTATCACTCTATCATAACCCTTTTGGTTACGTCACACAATAAGTTAGATAGGATATACATCACACATTATGCATAGGTAAACAGAAATTACTTGTAAACAATTAAAGTACTAAATCAATATGCTTAAACGTCCAAAAACAGATTCTTCTTGTTTCTAGCGAAAAGAAAAAGCAAAACATCAAATCCTTTAAAAGTATCCTTTCACCTTCTGACCTGATATGATGATGATACCGTCTCTATGCCAAAAGACAAAAGTCCGTACCGAACATCATATATTTTGTAAAGACAACGAACATTAAAAGCCTTTCACAAAAGACCAAACGCCAGTCGCACCGTATTTCCCCAAATTTGTAATGATCATAGTGTTATATATTTTCTGTGTATTTTTACCTATATCCTTCTATCTAATACGTATTATTATTTCTGTTCTAAAATAAGTAATTTACATTAATTTTTAAAATTTGTATTGGAATAGAATGATCATTTTATTTCTCCACGAGTAACGGTAAATGCATTTGCTTTACCTATATTTTCTTTTTCTATCGGAAGAGGTAAAACTTGAGAAATTTATATAATTTGGTAAGAAATACTGATATCATATTTTAGCCACGCATGGACTACTAAAGATGAGAGATCATTCTTGTTCATTCTGTATATTTCAGTATTAAACCACTTGAGAAATGGAAAAATATTCCCATCCCACACAGTAAAAAATGGCTGTTGCAGATATTTGTGCAGATGGGAAAATGAAAGGTGCACCGTGGATGTAGTTATTTGTTTAAAGATCGTAAGACATAAAGACGTGGTGATTCTTACGCATTTGATTTAAACAGTAAAATCATACGTACCTGATTATCAAAACCTAGTCCCATCAATTACGGTTAATTTGTAACGTACTATAGTTTCGGAAACCTTGGTAACAATGCCTATGCAGGGATAGTTTTGGTCGGCACAATCTTTATCTAAAAAATGCTCTAATAATAACAATATAATGTTTGGTTTAAGACGGCCATTATGGTCTTTCCGAATATTGTTGGTTAAGCGGCACTGGACATTTTAGTTTCATTTAAGATCTAAAACGATAAAAAGGGGGAAAAAAAAAAAAAACTCTTAAACATAAGTTGGTAGGATAACGCCATTTCGGCGTATGATTAGATGTAGATATCACATATGTTCCCTGTCGAAAAAACGAAACAAAAGTAATTCCCCATCTAATAATTTTTCAGAGTGGGGTGGCACTATTTTAGAACATAGAGTGGCTCAGAATTGATCCCTTTCCCACTTGTAATTTTGCACCAACTAAATTCTTCGATGGCCAGAGCATTTCCGAAAGGCCAAAAAGGACAACCCTGATCAGTTTTGTGTGTGTGTGGTTTTAACTTTGAAGATTGTGCATTAATATATCATTATTTTCCTATTATTAAGCATTCGCAGTTCAAATTTAAAAGTGTCATATGTTTTTTTTTCTTTTTTTTTTTGGTATATAGTGCATCCGGTGTTTGAAATCATTATTCTAACTAATCCGTCTTCGAATCGGGTAGGTCACTTTTGGAAGACAAACTTCTCCCAACAATCATTACTAAATGCACATGCAAAGATTTAATCATGGATTATAGTTAACTTGGTCCAATAGTGTTGCCACTTTGATCAAGTACTTCTTAGCCATATAGGGTATTTTAAAATACAAATTAATATGTTCAACTATCTAATATGCTTCTTGTTTAATTAGCAGTGATAGTGTATCAAAAAAAATATTATAAATACGAATTAATATGATCAATTGTCTACTATCCTACTTGTTTAGGGATATAAGTATATAAAATTTATTTTCAACAAAAGAAACTAAATCATATATATTCTTAAAATATATTGACTAAAAAGCATATATTGTTTACTTGTAGTAATTGAATCAAATAATATAAATAATCTTTTTTTTAGGCATAACGCAAAAAAAAAAAAAAAGAATCCAACAAAAGTACATAAAGTACAAAAAATAGGGGAAAACCATGACAAAAAAACTAATAAATAATTTTAAAATACTCATCCACACTCCAAACTTTTTCCTTAGTTTTTTGTAATAGCAAAATAGAATGTACCTGGCAGGTGCATGACCCGTTTTATTTATCTGGACTCATAACTTTTTCCTTAGTTATGAAATTAAACTCTTTTTATTTTAGAAAAATATATCAAACGAAATTATTTAAAAAATAATATTAGCATATATCTGATGTATCTAAACTTGATTTCAAATTGTATTCGTAATATAATGATTTGGAAACTAATCTTTATATTTTTTATAACTATTTTTTTATTTTTGAAAAATATATCAAATAGAATCATTTAAAATAATACTAATATACATTAATGTATCTAGACTTAGTTTTGAATTGTATCCGTAATATAATGATTCATTAACTAATATATTTATTTTTGTAATTAATCTCTTTTTATTTTTGGAAATGTATCAAATAAAATGTTTAATTTAACTCTTTTTATTAATCTCTTTTTCGAATTGTATTTGTAGTATAATTATTTAGTAACTAATCTTTTTTTTTATTTTTGAAAAATATATCAAATGGAATAATCTGAAAAAATAATATGAAAATATGTTTAATTTATCCAGACTTAGTTTCGTATTGTATTTGCAGTATAATTATTTGGTAACAAATATATTTTTTTGTTATTGGTAATTAATCTATTTTTATTTTTGGAAAATATATCAAATAGAATATCAGAAAAATATTATCAACTTATGTTTAATGTATCCACACTTAATTTTGAATTGTACTTGTATAATTATTTGGTGAATAATCTCTTCGTTTTGGCAATTAGTCTCTTTTTATTTATGGAAAATATACCAATCATCAAAGTAATAATATTAACATACTTGAAATGTAGGTAGACTTAGTTTCGAATTATATTCGTAATATAGTTATTTGATAACAATCTTTTTTTTGGTAACTAATATCTTTTAATTTTTGGATAATATGTCAAATAGAATCATTTGAAAAGTTATATTAACTTACTTTTAATGTCTCCAGGCTTAGTTTCATACTGTATTCTTAATACAATTATTAATTTGATGATTAATATTTTCTTATGTCGTATATTTATCATTAATTACCAAAAATGTGTTTATTTTTCCAAAATTAACTATCAGTTAATTACTTAATTCAATT